AATTCCATAGTTGTCAGATTTCCATTCAACTCAATTTCTGACAGATCTGAGTAATGGTTGTTCTATATTTTAGTTGTAATTTTGATGTGGTTGTATGAAGAGGTGAATCATGTCTGCCTACCCCACCATTTTGACCAGAAGTCTTCATTCTTTTTCCTTTTTGCTGCTCTGCCTGTGTGTATGGTTTTTTTTTTTTTCACCTTGTCTTCCAAATCACTCATTTGATCTTCGGCTTCATCTAACCTACTCTATTCCTTCCAGTGTATTATTTATTTTAGATATTGCTCTCTTTATTTCTGACTGGTCCTTTTTTGTGGTTTCTATGTCTTTTTTCATGCTGTTGAGTATCTTTATAATCATTACTCTATACTCTCTACCTGATAAATCGCTTGCCTTCATTTCATCTTGTTGTTTTTCTGGCGAATTCTCTTGTTCTTTCTTTTGGGGGTCTGTTTCCTTGTCTTCCATTTTTGGCTGCTTTTTTTGTATTTTCCATCTGAGCTGTTAAGCTAATGAGCAGTTAAATTGATCAGTTTGTTAAATTAATCAAACTGTAATCAGCAGCTGGCTTAAGCTCCATGGGCAGGGGGTTGGTGTCAGAGTAATCCCTGTGGACAGGGCTATTGCTTCCCTTTAGGCTGTTGCCATTTGGAGAGGAGTGCTCTTGCCTGAGAAAGATGGCTTCTACAGTATGGGGGATGACTCAGCACAGGGATCCCAGTGGCTGTTTTTTCAGTTCTCTCCCCAGAACCTCCAACCCCAGAGTCTCCTCAAGCATCTCTAGTGGACTCTGCCCTTCCTCTGCCAGAGTCCAGTGGCTGCAAACAAAAATTTTTGACCCTCTAAGAGGCTCTCTGCTTCTTTAGCCATCTCTCCCTGGCAGGCAGAAACCCTGCTGCTTTTCCCAGTTGAACATTATCTGGATTCCTTTATGGCTCTGGTGCTACAGGCTGGGGAGCTCAGCTTGAGGTTTAGACCCCAGACTTCTCAGGGGGAACCTCTCCAGGCACTGAAATATCCCTTCAGAACGTAAGCTACCACCCGTGGGAGCTCAGTCAGCCCTCTCACACCTCTTCTGCACTTCCTATGGTCTTGTTGAGGTGAAGTGGTTTCTTCTCTCTTTGGCTATAAGGCTTCTCTCCAGCTCGTGTTCACTTTGTTATTCAGGATGATTTCTCTACAATTTAGTTGTAATCCAGATGGTTCCTGAGAGGAGTTTAGTATATCTTCCACTTCCTCGTCTGCCATCCTGGATCGCATCCTTAAATACATATATTTTGGAAAAGACAAATACCCAACTGCTGGCTACCAGTCACTAGACACCAGGATTTTTCCCAGTCAGAATGAATTAATAGATAAACAAGGAAAGTGCCAGGAATAAAAATCCATTCACTTCCCCTTCATTTCCTGATAAGCAGCATGGTGGAAACAGAAGGGCCGGAGGAAAGCTGTGGCCGCCAAACTTGGCATTCAGGAGTCTAGTCACCATCTTCCTGGGTGTTGAGACAAAAAAGTTGGGGCAGCAGGGATGCCAGTTACTGGCAAGGCTGTAGTGCAGCAGGAGCTCTTCTTCCATGCTGGTGGGAATTCAAAACACTTGTTCAAAACTTTTCATAGCCTTCAGACCTCAAATCTCATCTTTCTTCAAATCTGCACACACACACACATCGGATGTAAAAGAATGAACTTATCACATGGTTCTTCTCTCTAATTGTTCTCAACAGCCCCCTGGAAAGTTGCCTCACAACATGCACTTGCTCTCGTCTTGCATACAAATCCATTGTATATACTGATTCATTTTGTTCATTACATGTACATTACTTCTGGTTTTTTTTACATGTTGTATTCTCTCAGCATAAGACTGTTTAAATCAAGGCACATTTCTTTTTTCATTATTTTTTATATAATGCCCAGTTTTAAATAACTATTCACTTAATGGCTATTGAAAGCAGTAATAAGTGTTTCACTGACGTCTTGGTTGAATGAATGTTTTATGCATGGGGTTGCCTCTAAGGAAAATGGTACAGGTAGGTGACATTTTCCACCAGTACTGCATACCCCATTCTTGGAAACATGGACTTCATAGAGTTTTCTGACATGCACACATATAAATAGATAGGGAAATGAATTTCCAACCTGTGAAAACTATCCACATTCCCTTATTCTGACCTTGTACACCAGGAGACTTGTACCAAAATCAGAAACGAGAACTGGAGTCTGTTCTTCATGACCTCTCCCCCATAACTGCTCTAGTGTGACACCCCAGGCCTCCCCACCCAGGGGTGCTCATAATTACCCGCTCTTAGCACCCTGCTCACTTTCCCCGTGATATTGTCACTCAATAAGCATTTTTTGCAGAGCTTCGCTTTATCCAGCCACTTCTAGGCCACATCCAAACCTAAAGCAGCAGTGCGCACCTGGGAACCTCCCTGCAGGGACAGCAGCAGGCCCAGTCACCTTCAGGCTCACCACTGGCACGCAGCAAGGCACCTTCGCTGACTCACAGAGGCCTTTTGGCTTGCCCACGGTTCACTGCCGTGCCATTATAGCTGGCCGAATCCTGGCTCAGCTCCATTTTATCACACTGACAAGTCCAGTTTACGAATGTTTCAGACATGGAGGAACTGAAGGGAAAACTAACAGATGAATTTTCAACTGTCATTACCCAAATTCCCCTGAGGCATATGCTGTATTGGATATTCAGCTCCACTTCAAAGGCTGTGAAGAAATTAGTTCAGCCATAGCTATCAACTTAATGCTACTATAGGAGAACAAAAGCTGATTATGTAATTATTCAAAATATGATTTTGAAGATGAAACTGTTTTGCCCTATGTTCAGTTAAAATGTTCTTATTGGGTTTGGGCTTTTCTCAAAATGATGCTATAAATCTAATTCATCTAACCGATGCTCAGTGAAGTGACTAAGTATATTAAACAATAAGTATGCTATGTTTCATAAGCATACAGATGCTGAACCTTATTACAACTAAATGTTCCAAAATAATGTTGCTTTGGAACTTAGCATTACAATATAAGCACACAAATTTTAACTTCTATTACAGACTAGTAATTGCAAATGAATAAAAATGCAGATTATACCAGTAGAAATTTCAGTTTCCCAATAGGAAAGTTGAATTATTTCTTAATCATTCAAAAGTATTTATTGAGTGCATACTTCAATTGGATGGAGGCAGCGGGGAGGAGGAGAGAACCAATTTCTGACTTGAACACTGGAGTTGACTGAGACACCACATTCTGAGGTGGGAGGAACCGGAAGGACAGGGCTGGGAGAAGGTCAAGGGTTTGGGTTTGGACACGGACAAGGGAAGGTCCTCGTGGGACGGCCATCTGGAAATGAGACACGGGCAGGTGGATAAACTGTCGTGGGGCCTGAGGAACAGGCTCGAACTGGAACTTTTTTTAGGATGCTATATTGGAATAGGCCTTATATTCTCGAACTGTTAGCAGTGTAATCACATAGTTTGTTTAGTTAGTTTGAGACCAAACACAGTTACCAACGAAATATGTCTATTCATATTCAGAACACATCATTTGTAGCAGATGGATGGTATTCAGGATAAGTAAATATGAAATGCCTGCCAGTCGTATAAAATTTATTTTCAAGTAATGATACACAATTTTTATAGTTAAATTTTATATAAGAAAAAACTAAAAGTAATCACAATCCCGCCACACAGTGCTTTCGTGCACACGCGTTGGGGGAGCTCTAACAAGTAGCCGAAGGCACGGGAGCAGACGAACAGTCAAAGGGCGTTTACTGCGAAAGAGAAGGCTCGCAGCCCAGCCACAGTAAGGATTTAATGGGAGAAGCAGAGTCAGAAGAAAAATTGTACTCGTGTACTTAACAATATTTTACTGACATCTACTGAGTGCCAGGGACTGTTTTCAATTCCGAAGCAAGAACCAGGGACTGCAGAGTGTTTTGTCTGGCCTGTACGGGGTTTAAAACTTCATCACCATTGAAAATGTGGAATATTTTACCAAAAAATATGAATTTCTATCTTGCCTTAAAAAAATCAGAAGAGCTAGCAACATGGGGCCCAAATTCCTCCCTGACAACAAGCGGCTGAACCTGGGTCACCTCGGCCTTTTCAGGGGTCGTGCTCTCTCCAGGGACAGATGCAACCCCTAGGACTCCCCAGTGTCTCCCTCTTGTTTTACGCTCTTCCAACTTCCCTCATGCCTTTGTGGTACCGTCCTGCCCCTGGAGAGTCTGCGATGCCTGCTGGAGATACAAAATCAAATGTCACATGGCTGCTGCCACTCATACCAAAAGCAAAGGAAAGCAAGGAGTGATGTGACTAGGTCTCCACTTTTGAAAAAAAGACTCTCGTGACTGTGGAGCATGGGCTGAAGGGGAGCAGGCAATTGAGCTAGTCATCAGAGTAATTATGAGGGGTTACGTGGATGTGGCCCGGCTGAAGGCAAGAGCAGTGGGAGGGGTGGGAGTTGTGTGGGGGGAGGGTGGATACCCTCTGTGAGGAGAGAGGCCTGCACAGGGTCATGGGTTGGGTATGTTCTCCATAGTAATTACTCACATCTAAGTGTCTGTTTCAACAATAATCTCAAGTCTGTGCCATGGCTGTGAATTTATAAAATGACACACGCCATTATGCTTCTTAGATAATAAACCAGACAAATTTCAAGCTACAACACCTTGACTTTCTTATAATAATATTTAGCCAATTTGATAGATAAAGAGAACGGTAACTAATATTCTCCAAGGGGCAAATATTTTACTTCTGGCAATTGGTGCTATATAATTTGGATTGCATTTCACTTTCAGGGAATTATAGATAAGTTGTTGAAGATTAATGTATAGTTTAAAACATTTTTCTTTATGGCATTTAATTTTAAATTATGTGTTATTGAATCACATTACATAGTAAAGAGCATTATAATGCTGAAAATGGTAAATATAAGTGTTGGGACCATGAATATGACTACATGAATGTTATCTCATTATATTCCCCATTTAGTACCTACATGAAAATGGGATCGTCCATCGTGACCTCAAACCAGAGAATCTTCTCTATGCAACGCCAGCCCCAGACGCACCACTCAAGATCGGTAAGGACTCTGACCCCTTTTCCCACCGCAGGAGAAGTGTGTTCTACAGAATTTTAAAATGTGGCACCATCCAATTTCCCTTCCATTTAATTTCCTTGAATAATTGCTGTCTAAAGGAATAACGCACAGTTTGGAAGTCTGGAATTTTAATCTGGAATTCGTGCCTAAAGTTAGTGTCACATTGCTGGGCACACAAAGGAATCACAGCTCTTGAAAATAGCTGGAGTTTCAGGGGGTGGCCTTGTATTTTGTCAATATAATTATATAGAAGAAAGTCACAGATAACATACACTTCTTTTTTTGGTTATTAACTTTTATTCCACAAATTAGATGGAGCTTAATTTTAGATAATCAAGAATTTTGACACGAAATATTTAGTGTCTACCAGTGAATTTAGGCTCTGAGTCACCTGTTTATAACAGCGATGAACTGAGATCTGTATTCCCTGAAGTGTGCTCCACAGAATGCTCATTCCTCGGTGGAGTGAACAAGGGCAAATAATGCCCTTTTGGGGAAGGTGCAAGGGCTTTGTGGAGATGCTAATTGGTCAAATAAGTTGGAAAACGCCAACATAAACAAGATTTTTATTTTCCAGGATTTCCCACAAACCTTAAAAATGCTAATGTGCACACTGACGTCTAATATAGTGGACTATGAGGTTTCCCCCCAAAACCTTGGTTTTTTTCCCCCAATAGCCATTTTGAAGAACTGTAGTGATGAACGTTAGGAAATTCCGATTCTACCCCAAAGAGATTTTTCAGTTAGCATTTTAGGAAAAAAAAAGAGTATATTAAATATTACTTTCCATTTGCTTTCCAAAGCAAATCTTCATTTGCATAAATAAATAAATAAATAAATGTATGTAAAATTTATTTTTAGATGGATTCTCTTTAGTAGAATCTGTTCTGTCTGGCCTGCACAGGGTTTGAAAATTTTTTAATTAAATCCTCTAAAGCACCTTGCTCTCTTGGTGCTCTCCTTTATAGTGCAAATCTGATGGGTTCACTGCATTCATAAGTGTTAACACCTTTGCAAATTAAGTTACACCGATAGTGGGAAGGGCTCGAACAGCCTAATGTGCTCAGTGAATGCGAGACCCTGCAGGGAAAGTGCCCAAGCCCTGCTGGGCAGCCCGCCTGTTCTCATAATCGCTCCTGAAAAGCAGCAGACAGCGGGGGGCCTCCCATCTCCTTTGACTTCACTCTCAAAGATTTTATCCTTAACAATATTTCTTTAAATGGATGGATAGATACTAATTTAGGCAGGAGAGCCTCGCTTTCTGAAGGACTTCCTGCTGCTTTCTCTGATAAGGATCAGCACCTCCACGGAGAAATGGGTTTATCTTTGAAGTCTAAAATGGCATCCATTCCGCACCTGCCTCTCTTGAAGAATGGCCTTAAAAGGTTTCCTGGTGCTCCCTGAGTGGGACAGATGTACCCCGCAAATAGGTCCCCTAATGATAGCGACTTCTGATAATGTTTTATCTAGGTAATATTCTGAGGGATAAATAAAAAAGGATTTTTACAAAAAAATAAAAGATAAAGCCATATTCTTCATAGGAGAGTGAATTCTTACCTGTCAAATTCACTAATGAATGACATTATTTGAAGTAGAATAAACCTTTTAATGTTTCTGTTCATTTCTTTGACATTCATGAAAGTCTAATTATTTATTTTGATTTATTCCGACAGATTAAAATTTCTGAATTATATCACTAATTCTATATTGTCTTTCAGAGTTAGTTTCATAAATCTCAGAATTAACATTTAACAAAATATATCTATCCCAACCATTACTTCAAGAAGAAATAACTTATTTGCCAAAAGCTGGAATTTATAGAGGAAAGTATAAGATGTTTTTAGGAATCATATTTTTCTCTAATTTAAAGTAAGACTTAAACTATTACTATTACTTTTTTTTTTAGTTTTCTCTCTCTGGTGACTGGTCCCCACTTACATCCATCCCATCTTAAAATACAAAAACAAAAAAATAAATAAGTTAGGTTCATTTAAAATAAGGGAAGTGTTCTGTCATCTTACAACAGTTGAGAGAAAAAAACTTGCTTTCTTAATTGTTTTCTTGTGTTGCTAGCTGATTTTGGACTCTCCAAAATTGTGGAACATCAAGTGCTCATGAAGACGGTGTGTGGGACCCCAGGGTACTGCGGTATGCTCTTTAGTTCTGATATTTTACTTTCATTGTTATTCGAAATCTATTTTTATTTAAAGTTCTGAATTTTTAAACTCTTAATATCTCTACTTCAAATGCTTACAATTCGATGTGAATCTCCTCAAGGAAGCATATATAAATGATACTCACACCACCTTTTGTTCTTCATGAGGGGTTCTCTGATGTCGGCTTTGGGGGGCCCCTGTTAGAACAGCAGGGGTAGAGGGGGGCCCAGGGAGGAAGGACCAGGTACTTTGCATCTGTCTTTTGGGCGGTAGATCCTCTCGAACCAGCTCAGGATTGGAGAGACTGTCGCCCGGGAAGAAGACAGCGAAAGAGCTTTGGCTGTGTTTGGAATTAAAGCCACGAGCTCTTTGTACTTCTTTTATCTGCCAGGGAGGGTGTGTGTCGTTGATGTAGATGGTATATAGGACAATGTATGTATCATGTATGAGGTAGTCAGTAGTGCTCATTGATGGCACTGGCCTGGCCTCATTAACCTAAGGGCTTCAGGTAGGATTTCCCCAGACAGTTCCCCAGTCTCGGAAGATGGACAGAGCCACAGTCCTCACACCCTCTCACCTAGACTCCCAGGATGGTCTGAAGGCACCCATGGACAGTACACAATCGGGAGACAGAACAATACCTGTTAATCCATGACAGGTGAAACTCACACATTTTTTTTTTGTTAATGGCTAAATTAATCTGGCATCAACCTAAAGGTTGCAAAAATTATCAAAATTTTCTAAAGATTTTATGAATAATGAATATGTCACAAAGCAGTTAAAATCCTAACCCAGAAAAGAGACAAGAGTACAAATTATCGATCACAAGGTTAGCCATCATTTTCTTTCAGGATCATCATCTTTCTACACAGAGCTTCCTTCACTCACTCATCTCTTCGGCAAAATCACCTGCTGTGTGCTCAAGCCTGTGCTTGGCACCAGGGAGACATTTTCAGCTCCCAGCCGCACCTGGGGCGCTTGCACTCTGTAGGGGAACGGACATGTAAACCAAAAGGCACAGCACCTTAAGAAAGGCTGTGTTATGTGCATGGAGAAGCCACTACGGGAACATAGGAAAAGGGCGGTGTTTGGAGTTACCTGGAATTATGGTTACTAAAGGAACATGGAGTTACCTTAGTCCTCCACGTCATCAGAAACAGACACATAAAAGCTACATAACGGACTCATTTTAACAACTTCCGAATTCACAGAAATCAGACTGGAGAAGGGCAGTATGACACCCACCGAAACAAATGTATTATTAAATTCATTTGTTAAACCCAGAATTTAAGTGCTAGAAGAAACTTTAAAGTTTATTTACTAAAACTCTCATTTTACTAGGGTACAATGGGTATGATTACCTCAAGATTCCACATCTAGTTCTTAGTGGGTCAGAGATGAAAATCCACATATCCAAGGGTCTATGAACAGAATTGTGGAGTTTTCTCTTTTAAAAAACCCAATATAGATAAATTGGTATAGTTTTCCCTTGTAGAAATATTTATCAGTTATTGCTTTTAGCTTAAATATTTTCTATTTTAATTTTTTAATCTCAAAATTACTACTAGGTTATTGTAAGACATAAAAATCTGAATATCTGTAACAAATAATGCAGAAATCATGCATTGTTTCTCTCCTTTCTTCATGTTTTTGTGTTTACATAAGCTTTTTGTAATTTTGTTATTCACTAGTTAAATTTCCTGAGAAAGCTAAAATATTATTTCCTTCTTTCTCAATTATTCATACATTAAATAATTACACAGAATTAAATATACTTATATTTCTATTAGATCTTTGTGCCAAATATTCTTGTTCTGGATCTTAAGCTCTTTGAGGACAAGGGTTGTTTATCCTAAGGAGTAAATTCAGAAAAATCAAAATGACTGTGGCTTAAACAAGATAGAAGTTGATTTTTCTCATGTTAGAAGTCTCAGGAAAGACAGTCCTGGTGGATTCCATGGCTATGGCTCGGCAGGTGTGATGCTTCCTAGTGCCAGGGATCTGGGCTTTTTTCTGTCTCACTCTGCCATTTCTTAGGATGCTTCCTCATGGTCCAAAATGGCTGCTTGAAATCAGCCATTACATCTGCATTCTACACAACAGAAAGGAGAAAATACTGAAAACGACTGTACCCTTTCACTATTAAATAGACTTACTGAAGCCCCACATGTCACTTCCACTTATATCTTATTGACTGGTACTTAGTTACAGCCACAGGAGTTACAGCTACAATACTTCACACTGCCACAGGAGCTGCCGGTGTGACCTAGAACTGGATATGTTGCTACCCCAAGTAAATTGAAGATTCTGTTACTAAACATGAGTATTGCATTAGACAAGTGTTTATCTCCACCACAAATTTAGGAGTAAGATTCCCATTCCTAGGGGGGGAAAGTAAAAATCATTGCACTACACCATGTTCCCTATAGGAATCTTCTTGCTTTGTTTTTATATATTTTATTGTCTGTTTCACTATTAGTAGACAACCCTCTCTCCTAATGGTGCTGTATGCACTTTCCTTTCTCTAATTCATATGTCTTTATCCACCCTCCTGTATTTCTTTCGTGCCTCCAGCTCTCCAAGAATACAGGAGAAAAATGAACTCTGAATTAAGTACCATTTGCCAAATGGGGTTGCCCATTTATGATCACTAGTTGCTCACCCATTGATAGGAGCATTGAAATAGAACTGAGAAAAGAATAATAAAACAAATCAAGGATTTCCCATAAGAAAGCTGATGATTAATTTAGTAATTGTTATCTAATACCAAAAACTAGTATTCCAAGGAGGTAGGTAGGTTGCAGCAATGATCCCCTGAGAATTTAACAGCCCTGCCCTGGGGAGATCAGGAGGAGATTACATTCGCAATCTCTCTGAGTCCTCCTCTGTGACTAAGGGAGAGTAGCAACCTTTCAAGGGCTTTAACAATAATGATAAGAGCAGTTCTTCTTTGCAGCATTGAAAAATGGTCATTCTGTGAATTCACTCACTGATAAAATGAGCATTCGCTGTCTAATAGATTCCATTCTAGACACTGAGGTTACAAGAGTAAGTACAGTATATTGTCTTGCCCTTCAACTATTTTCATGGGCTATAAAAGAAAGACCAGTATACAACAAATCAAAGTTTGTTGTGGTACATTTTTTATTTATCTGAGCCAAAGGCTCGTGGGTGCAGCAGGGGTAGAGTGATTAATTCTGTTTAGAGAGGTCTTCATATCTACGGCCAAGCCACCCTGAACATACCTAGTCTCGTCTGAGAGGTCTTCACAGAGGAACAGCATATAAGCTGGACACTGAAGGAGGAGGAGGAGTTTGACAAGGGGAGGGCTGGCCAAGGCATTCTTTGTCAGCAGGCGCAGGAAGGGTCACAGAGGAGTGGTAGCACCTGGAAGTTCAGGGGCTGGTTGTTACCTCATCACTCTGTGTGAACGGAACATAGTGATATGTTCCTCTCTAAAGATAAATTTTTAAAAAAGAAATAAAAAAAGGAAAAGCCACCCAGTCAGTCTCATTCATTAAACCTTTTGCCCTAGGCTTTTAATAGCAGAGGGTTCTCTTATAAGTAAATCTCAAAATAAAATCACAGCTGCTGTATGTTTAAGCAAATATTTCCTGGGAAATGTGCCCAGTTGAAATGAAACTCCAGGCCAGAAAATTAAAATGTGTGACCCAGCTAAATGAAATCAATGACTGGTTCCCTGAAATAGTCCATGTAGAATTCAACATGAAAGAAATTATTGACTTCCCATCTTGATGGCAGTACAGGCAGACATGGCTCAACCTCCTCCCACAACCACATCCAAATTACAACTAAAATATTATAGGGCAACCATCAATGAGAACCGTCAGAAATGGATTTGAATGGAAGTCTGACAACTAAAGATTTAAAGAAACCACATCCACCCAGACCGGTAGGAGGGGTGCAGAAGTGGAATGGGCTGGTCCCACATCCATGTGTGGTGGATAAAAATTCCGGAGGGCTATCTCAGGAGTGAGAAGTCCCAGCCCCACACCAGGTCCCCCAGCTCAGGGTTCCAGTGCCAAGGATGATCAATCCCCACCACTTCTGGCTGCAAAGCCAGTGGGGATTGAGTCAGTGAAAGAAACTCTGGAGCCTCAAGTAGTTCCTCTTAAAGAACCCACAAACAAACTCACCTACTCAGCCTTAACTCCCTCTGGACTCCAGGAAAAGGATAGAAGCTTGAAAGGCACCAGTGGCATAAGGGAGAAACTCAAGTGTCTGACATCAAGGTCAGCAGAGACCATTATCCCTTTTCTGAACCTCACCTCCCCCCCCACACACACACACAGACCCAAGAGCTGGCAAGTTGATGCCATGTCTGAGACTCCATCAACCCAGCTAACACTGTTTGCCCTGCCCTGGAGATCCCCTGAGACTCTGCCCCTCTGAACTTACAGGCCCACCCAAGCTGCTTTTCCATATAAATGGCTGGTCTTGGTTTATGCTTCACAACTTCCTAAATCCTATCAAACAAGTGACAGTTGGCCTCAGTGAGCCTCAGGCCCAGCACTAGTAGCAGCCATCTCAGATTGCTTTATAGCTCAGGCAGGGTGGCCCCAGGAAAAACACAGGTGGGAGCTGATCTTGCCCTGTAACCCATGCCTGCACCCCCTGTAGTCAGCTACAGACCATATCAGAGCACTACCACGCTGGCCCTGCACAGCTGACTCTCCACACAGGGCAGAGGGTGGTGGTCAGTGGTCACAGCCAGTCCTTGTAGCTGACTGGCCTGGATAAATCCCTCCCACTGATCTGCCAAAAGCAATTAAGGCTCATCTACAAGAGGAAGGTGCACTCGGCCCACATGAAGGGCACACACCTTAAGTACCCAGCTTGGGTGATAGGGGAGGCTGTGTTACTGGACCCTACAGGACACTTACTGCATTAAGCCACACCACCAAGACATAGAGTCAAAGCAGCTCTGCCTAATGCACAGAAACAAACACAAGGAGGCTGCCAAAACAAGGA